CTTTGGGTTGAACTTTTCTAGAGCATAAGCGAAGCCGTGAAAGAAGCTGAGATCGATGCTGATTGAGAACAGCATCACTTTTTATTTGGGTATGGTGGCACGTTGTCCTGATGCCTTCAGCCAGAGTTTGGTCAGCCCCACAAGCCAGCCAGCACCAGTCCTCTGATGTCGAAGAAAGAGTTGGCCACAAAGATTCTCTCTTCTTCAGCCATTACTTGATAACGGGCTACGGCCCCACGCCTGTGCTTCTTTGAGACGTTGGCTCCGCTCCTAACCCTCGTGTAGGACTGCTCTGGTCCAGGGCTGGCGCAGCGCTAACTTCAGCACTGGATACGGTGGGAATTGGCATTTCCCTACGGCCATCTTGGAGCTGAAACCTCCAGTGGGAGACATTGAGTTCCCAGACAAAATACCGGAGTTGTTTCACAGTGCTCCACGGTTATTAAAGGGGCTTAAGTTTCAGGCATTGATCCGGGCCCTTAAGGAATTGGGTACAGTCAGTTTTCAAGTTTTAAGCTCCAGCTGGCGCCATGCTTGGGCACTATGCAATTTCTTAGTGCCAGGTTCTCGCATCCGCTGTGAACTACAATCGGCCGCAGTCACGAGAGGCAGAGGAACGCTGGCGGCCGCCCCGACACCGGAGCTCGCGTTACGAGGGTCGCGGCCGAAGGACGCTCTAGCTGGTGAACCTCTGCTATGTTGTGACCTGATACCAGCACTTGTGAGAACTGTGGAACCTTTCCTAGTGGAAATTATAAAGGCGGATCCGTCGAATTCAGAGGCAAAACTTGGACAAAAGGAGAGTTCGTGATAAATGACCTCCCTGCTCCAGGAGAGCGTCACTCTCCACTGCTACACAGTTTGGGGTTTTTACTGCACATGCTTTACCAGAGGTGCTCAACTCTCTCTTTGGAACAGATTGGCCAGGCTGTAAGCTGGGTGTTCTGGCCCCTATCACACACATAGAATCACAGAATGGCAAGAGTTGGAAGGGACCTCTGGAGATCATCCACTCCAACCCTCCTGCTAAAGCAGGTTTACCTAGAGTATGCGGCACAGGACAGCGTCCAGGTGGGGGTTGAAGATCTCCAGAGAAGGAGACTCCACAGCCCCCCTGGGCAGCCTGTTCAGTCGATTCTCCAAGTGCAGATGCATGAGAATGTGAGGTCTTAA